AGGAAGTGGTGGAGGGGATTTGGGGAGGCGGAGTCCTGGGCTGACAGCAGCCACGCAGAGGCAGTGAGGCTGGCCTCACTCATTGGCACTTGGGGCTCAAGTTCCGCCAGGGCCTGGATGACAGACTCCATGAGTAGAGGCAGGGAGGCTGCAGGAGAGAGGATGCATTAGCCCAGCAGCCCAGCCCTACCAGTTCCTGAATCCCTTTCTCTCTCTCTCTCTCTTTTCTTATTTTTATTGTTTGTAGATTAGTTTTTCTTCTTTTTTCAGAGAGATTTTCGCTTATAGGGTGCATGCCCTCGCCAGAAAGACAGAGAGAGACAGAGAGACAGAAAGCCAGAAATTACTTTCCAAGAGGGATGGCCACACCGCAATCCCTTCTCCTCCATTCTCCTCTCGTGATCTTGGGCACGCATGCACACACGCCCGGTGTGAGTTTACGCCACCAGGTCCGGGACTCAAACCGCGGTTGGCTACATGGGAGTCCAGTGACATAGACATTATGCCAACTGCTGGTCCCTAGATTATTTTTTGCCCTAGGATATGTGCACTCACCAGAGACAGAGAGAGATGGGGGTGGGGGGGGCTGAGAAATTACACCCCAGGGGGATGGCCATGCCTCAATCCCTTCTCTTCTATTTTCCTCTTGGGATTTTGGGCATACATACATACACATAGGGTGTTTTTAGGCTGCTGGGTCTGGGATGCGAACCATGGAGTTGGCCATGTGAAAGCCAGTGCTTTGAACAGCATTTTTTTTTTTTTGGAGAAGTTTTTGCTACACGGCCCGTGCACTCGCCAGACAGAGAGAGAGAGACAGAGAGACAGAAAGCGAGAAATCACCCCCCAGGGGAGATAGCCATGCCGCAATCCCTTCTCTTCCATTCTCCTTTCGGGATCTTGGGCACGTATGCACACATGCCCAGCATGAGTTTAAGCCACTGGGTCCAGGACTCGAACCACGGTCCACTATGTGGAAGTCCAGTGACATAGCCATAACGCCAACTGCTGGTCCCTAAAATAAAATAATTCTTAAAACTAAAATAAAATGCCCTTTCCTACTTCTCCACCAAGCACAATTCTTCCCATCCTAGTTTTATGTCTCCTCCTCCAGGAAGCCTTCCTTGTGTTTGCTTCCCAATCCTCAGGCCCTTCTACTCATCACTGCCCTGACTTTGTGTGTCTGAGAACAGGTATCCCCAGACTGGAGGTTCTTTGAGCACTGGGGCCTCCAGGGTCCTCTGGCCTTGCCCTGTACAGAGCTAGGTACAGAGGAGGAGGTAGCAGAATACTTCCGCAAAATCAAGAGTCCTGGCCCGGGCCTCTGCCCTCTGACCCACCTGTCCCTGGCTCCGGCCACAGCAGCAATCCAAGCAGAATCCAGGGGACACCCCGGGCTACCATGGTGGAGCTCCAACTTCCAGGGGACATACTCGGTTGACCTCAGCAGATAATCTCGGCCGTCCTGGAAGGAGACAGGCATGGAGAACTGACCAGTGCCGTTGGCCACTGCCAAAGTCCACTGGAGAATGACACAGCTGGACCTCGCAAAGCTGTAGGCGGGAGGCAGTGGGGAAGGTGCACGGGGACAGATTACCCTCTGTCAAGGTCACCCGGGCTTCGAGAGCTCTCTCTTTCTCTCCTGTCCCTCCCAGGCTGAAGTCCCGGGATCTATAAGCCAGACCCATCCCAGAAGAGACCGGAAGGCCAGAGATAGTTCCTCCAAACTCGTTCTCGAGAGAGTAAGGCAGACTGAAGCCAGTCCTGCCACCCTCGTCCCAGCTATGGTGACAGTTTGTAGCTGCTGGTGGCCACCAGAGGGGACTCTCAGCTCCTCGCCTGCCCGGCTGGTAAGACCGGCTGTGCTGGGGGAGGGGAGAGAAAGCTAGGCCTAAGGTTGACACTGCCCTCGTGCACTTTGGCTGACAGGTGGGTACAGGGGTTTCCTCTCCCAGCCCTGGGGACCATGACATGTCACCTCTCATCCAGTTCCAGCCCCTGATCCCAAACCACCAGATGTTGCTAAAGGCCAAGGTTGGCCCTGGTTTTGTCCCAGGAGCTGGCTTCCGGGCTCACCTGGACTGGAAAGTTGAGGGGTCCTTTGTCGTCCCCGGGTGCCTGTGCCCTACCTAGTCCTGCACAATAGATTCGTCTCCCCTTTATTCTGGCTCAGGTGGGGCAAGCCTGACGTGGCAGGGCTGCCGTGTATGGGGATTGCTTCACGAAAGGCTTCCCACCCCAAAACCAGCCTGGGGAGTTTCCAGGAGACCCACCAGGCTGGGGACTGATGTGGGGGCGGGCCCTGGGCGGGCCTGGGAATGTCCGGATTGAGCCAGGCCTGGGATTCCACCGCCACTAGAGCTCAGGTCTCCGAAATCTTCCTTCTAGAGACCCAGCCTAGTTTAACACAAAGAAGAGACTCAGGAAAGTAGCCCCCCCCAAAGGGACAGAAAATTGGGACTCCCCAGGAAATTCACAGGTAATATGCTTCTCTAAGCTTGAATTCCCAAGGATTTTTTTTTAGTATCTTTTATTAAAAAAGTTTTTAAAAATAATTATTTTATTTAATTTATTTATTCATTTATTTTCAAAATTTGACCAGAGAGAGACAGGGTGAGAGAGAGAGACAGAAAGGGAGAAAGC